AAAGCTCTCCAAGGCATATGATTTAATTCTCATATCTATATATGTATATGATTCATGTAACTAGTAAAGGCTACTAAAAAAGAAGAAGAAGAAGAAGAAGAAAAAGCATGAAGTTCAGCTCCTGTAAGACATGTTTTGGATTAATTCTTCAAAGACATTATCAGAAGATTGCCGACATGTAAAGTCAAGCAAAGCAACATGTACATAACTAAAATGGTGGACGACTTGATTAAGAGTCTGCTGATCAAACAAATTAACTATATATTGCCAAAATCTCTCAAGTTATGAAACCTAAATTAATTACGGAAAGGTGATATTTTATAGAATAAAAACCATCATAAAGTTGTGGAAAACTGAGAAATTATGTCTCAGTGGAAAAAAAAAAAAAAAAAACAAATTTCCGTGTTCCAGTATTAACATATTTTTACAACTTGCTTAGTTAAAAGGAGCACTATATGCACGCTCCATGGCACTATGCGCATGCTATTTATGTAATTATTTTTGTCTTGTGTGTTGGATAAAACAAAAAATTAGGCTGAGTTTTTTTATTTAAGATATCTTGAGAATTAATATATATATATATCATTAAGTTGTCAAAAGCAGAGAAATTATGTCGAGTGAAAAAAAAAAATCAAATTTCCTTCTTCAAAGTATTAACATATTATTGCAATTTGCTTGGTTAAAGAGGCACTATGCGCACGCTCCATGGCATCTTATTGTTTTTGAATATATTACATAAATATTGCTCACAAACATTTGAATATGCTTAGTAATTAAATCACATTAGTCTATAAACGTGTACTTAGGATAGCATTATCGGTCGTCGCCGTTGGCTCTTGTAACTTGGATTCTTTTCATATTTTATGTGCAACTTGATGATTATCGTGCATGGGAATTTATGAATAGATTACTAACCTTGAACAATGTCAGTACGTTTTCTCAGACCATGTATCTGGGCAATTAGGCCTTTAGGCATTACATTTTAGTACAATAATCATTAACAAAAAAATGTGATATAATTAATCCTACTTAAGGAATTTCTTCCTTTTTGACATAATTGGTTATCATCGATCTGCTTCTGTTGGATCAATTCACATTTTATTTATAAAGGAACTAAACACGTATAACATACAGAAAATCCAGGAAATAACTGTTTTTTTTTTCATTGGTCTCCTCTATTCAAGTAGTTGAACACTTTAAGTTCGTAAGTGGAAGGATTTAAATTATTGTTAGAGCATACTTTTCAACAACCATTATACGAGATATAATTAAATAATTTACAGCTTTGCAACCCTAAATCATTAATCGATGAATTAAGGATTCGAACGCTTAAACATATGTGGGCTATACATAAGGGTCTATGCGACGGGCCGGAATGGATTTATAATTAAATTTCTAAAATTTCGTCTCCATGGCCTTTTTCTAATAAATAAATATGGCGAATCTCCTTGTAACGATAGATTGTGTAAATAATTTTTGTGGATAAGATGGGTTCTCATCAATCAAAAGACTAATGTGACCATACATGTCGGCATAGCTTAACGACTATTTATCCGGTGGTTTTCGTTAGTAAGATAGGTTTGAGTTTCTTTTAGTGAAACTAATTTGAGTTTTAATAACTCTAATTTATTTAGTTATAATGTAAAGAGTGAGGACTAACACTCATTCTGGAACTCAATACTCATTGACGAACCAAAAAAAAAAAAAAAAGAGAGATAGTGTCATCCAAATATATCCACCAATACTTCACTACTTGTACATATAAAAATAAAAAAGGTTAATTGGTTTGATAGTATCATGTATTATTAGTTAAGCAAAAATCGATATCTCAATTTTAATTGTTTCAATTTGAGTATCATAACTCGCCTTTTGATTTGTAATCAAATCATTTGATTATGTTGATCAACTTTCGGACACACTTTTTGCATGTGATACTAACATGACTTAATAAATCAAAAACACATCGATCTTTTTAGCTAGTTGACTCTTTTTTCGACCAATTGGCTACAGTAAAATTATAAATTACCCTCATCTAAAAACAAATTACTTTTATCTTCTCAAACTCTCATGTCACGACCATCTCTCTCATCCGATCAAATCCAACACCATCTACAACAATTCTTCTTTTTCGATCAAACCCAACACCAATCATAGCTCTCTCTAATCCCTATCCTCCAATCAAGACTCAACATTAGCCACTACAATCCTTATAAACACCATTTTCTCCACTCGAACAACATTCGAGCCATTGTAGCCTTCTTGACAATTCCTCTCTTTCGATCAAACTCAACACCAACCATAGCCATCCCTCTCTTTTGATCAATCCTAACACCAACCACATCTCTCTTGGTCATCCCTCTTCTCCAATCAAACTAACACCGACCACATCGCTCTTAGCTATCCCTCTTATCCGATCAACCTAACACCAGACCTCATCTCTCTCGGCCATCCCTCTTCTTCGATCAAAACCTAATATCAATTACTACAATTTTATAGCCACCATCCTCTTCAACTAAACAACACCAAAACTCTAACACCAACCATTGCCGGAGGACATCGAAGCCTTCTTTCTTCCAATTAAAATAAAACCAACTTTGTCATCTCTTTTTCTCCTTCTCATCCGATCAAATCCAACACCAGCCTACAACAATTCTTCTTTTTCGATCAAACCCAACACCAATCATAGCTCTCTCTAATCCCTATCCTCCAATCAAGACTCAACATTAGCCACTACAATCCTTGTAAACACCATTTTCTCCACTCGAACAACATTCGCAGCCATTGTAGCCTTCTTGACAATTCCTCTCTTTCGATCAAACTCAACACCAACCATAGCCATCCCTCTCTTTTGATCAATCCTAACACCAACCACATCTCTCTTGGTTATCCCTCTTCTCCAATCAAACTAACACCAGCCACATCGCTCTTAGCTATCCCTCTTATCCGATCAACCTAACACCAGACCTCATCTCTCTCGGCCATCCCTCTTCTTCGATCGAAACCTAATATCAATTACTACAATTTTATAGCCACCATCCTCTTTAACTAAACAACACCAAAACTCTAACACCAACCATTGCCGGAGGACATCGAAGCCTTCTCTCTTCCAATTAAAAAAAACCAACTTTGTCATCTCTTTTTCTCCTTGTTATAAGGAAAAAAAAATCTTGATTAAAATTAGGTAGGAGACTAGACAAAAATTTTCGATTTGTTTGGAAAAAAAGAAAAATGATCTTGATGGAAATTATGTAGGAGATTGGGAAAATATTTTAGACTTGTTAGGAAAAAAAAAAGAAGAAGAAAATCATCTTGATTGAAATTAGATAGGAGATTGGGTAAAGATTTTATATCCGATAATTTAATTTAGGTTTGTATTTTTTAATCATTTTACCATCATGTGTTTGTTACGTATGTTTGGATATTGGTCAATAAAATCAGTCGACTAGATTACAAACTAAAAAATAATTATGATATTCAAATTAAAAAAATTAAAGTTGAGCCAATTAACCAAATAAAAAATAAAAACAATTCTCCCCGTAAGTGTTCGATGAAAAGCATTTTCTTATCTACGTACGCGCATTTGAAGTATATTATGGAGTAATGGAGAATTATATGATGGAAGTAACGGAGTGAGATGCTGAAAATAAGGCTAGCTTTAGTATGTTTGGAATTGATTGGTGAATTATCAAGAGAAGGAAATTAAAAATTAAGGTTAAAAGTTTTCCTTACTAATCAAAGTAGCTTTTACTAGCTAATAATGTGAACATGGATTGACCTCAAATGAGCTCATCAAATGAAGCCATCCCAACTCTATTTTATTTTCAGCAATGAGCAAACACAATGGAGACCATTGCTAGGGCAAGTCACATGTTAGGACTAATTAATTAGGACGACGGCGTCTATGAACAGTTCTACTCTTACCCCTGCTGAACTTAACCCTTCGCCTAATTGAGTCCAAAATCATAACGAAAGACAAAGCAGCTATTCCATAGCATTATATGATTTCTTCATCAAGTTCAAAAACAATCTCTCTCTCAAAAACCAGGTCAAGTTCCACGAACTATAATTCATCCACTCGACTTCATGCGAATATATATATATATAATGGGGCAATCATTTTTTGTAAATGTTTTTCTTGGTTAACCAAATCAAAAGAAACAAAAGTCTCAAGCCTGTTATCCCTTCAGAAGTGATGATCAAAAGTTCAACAGATACAGTGAACAACATTTGCAGATAGAAATGGAACACGTAAATTCATTTTCCAAATACCACGTAGTAGCATCCTTCATGTTTTCCTCCAGGGTTAGCTAACTGCATGGCGTGCTATTATCCTCAAATTAGATAACTAAGTGCAATATTACCCAATCAGGGACACCTAATTAAACACCAGATCATATCATATCATATCATATCAGATCATATTTCTTTTAATCTTTGGGTCCACAATTTATAGTGCCACAAATCCATCATCTAGCCGACAAATGTACCAAAATCCGAATCACCCAAAACGCCACATCATCCTCTGAGCATGCTCTATTAACCTAAATTATCTTCCTTTAATTACAAGTTACGACCAGTAATCCACTAATTCAGTCCTTACCCACAAGCAAACTACAACAAGCCAAAAGGTGTTACGATGTTAGGCCTGTAGCTGACATGTACAGCACCGATACCATACAGCTTGTCGCATTGCTTACGTGTTATTTCGCACGTGGACACATGTTCGCCCGCTATTGGCCGTGTTTCATAGTCAACTATCACAGGCGCCAAACGAAAGTTTCCCACCTTCAACGGCAGTTAGGCAAAAATAATGAAAGATTTCCTCTAGCTCTAACCATGTATCAATTTGCTTCTTTATGAACACGTCAAAGCTATTTATTGTGCTATGGCCATGGTGGTGCATTGCTTATTTTCTACCAACTCCCTCTCTTGCTCTCCTCTTACCTCCGAAACCATTTTCTTCTGACTCTCTCTAGCTCCAAGAGATATTAAGAGTCAAAATGGGTTCTTGTAAATTTTCCATGTTTAGTTTGCTTTGTTTGATCATTATTTCGTTGCTGGTTTCTGGGGAAGAAATAAGTCCCCAGCTTGTTAAGGAGAGGATTTCATTGCTTTCTTTCAGGTCTGGTATTGTATTAGACCCTGAAGGTGCACTTGAGAGCTGGAACTCTTCAGGCATTCATCTTTGCAACTGGACAGGAGTCAAGTGCAACAATGCTAGTGATCGTGTAATACAGCTTGACCTTAGTGGCAAGTCACTTCGCGGCAGGATCTCTCCAGCTCTTGCGAATCTTTCTTCTTTGTTGGTTCTTGATTTGTCAAGGAACTTCATTGAAGGACACGTTCCAGCGGAGTTGGGTTATCTTTTCCAGTTAAGACAGCTCAGTTTATCATGCAATCGTCTCGGAGGAGACATTCCCAAAGAGTTGGGATTTCTTCACCGATTAGTATATCTTGATTTGGGAAGTAACAAGCTTGCCGGTGATATTCCTGCACTACTTTTCGGCAATGGGTCCTCTTCTTTGGAGTATATAGACCTTTCTAACAATTCTTTGACAGGAAAAATCCCTTTGAAGAATGATTGTGAGCTTGGTGCTTTGAGGTTTCTTTTGCTTTGGTCGAACAGACTAGTCGGCGGGGTCCCTCCAGCACTTTCTAACTCCACCAATCTTGAATGGCTCGATTTGGAGTCAAATATGTTGAGTGGGGAATTGCCATCAGAGATTGTACGTAAAATGCCGAAGCTACAGTTCCTCTATTTGTCTTACAATGACTTTGTTAGCCAAGATGGTAACACCAATCTTGAACCCTTTTTTGCTTCTTTAGTTAATTCTTCTAACCTTGAAGAACTTGAATTAGCCGGAAATAACCTTTACGGAGAGATACCTCCTATTATTGGTGATCTTTCTACCAATTTTGTACAGATTCATCTAGATGAGAATCTTCTCTATGGCGCTATCCCCCTCACATTTCAAACCTTGTCAATCTGACCCTCTTAAACTTGTCTAGTAACCTTTTGAATGGTACCATCCCCCTGAACTATGCCGTATGGGAAATCTAGAGAGAGTTTACTTGTCAAACAATTCACTCTCTGGTGAAATTCCAGCAGCTCTTGCTAACATTTCCCACTTGGGCCTTCTTGACTTGTCAAAAAACAAACTAACAGGCTCCATCCCAGACAGTTTTGCCAGCCTTTCGCAGCTACGGAGACTCTTCCTTTATGAAAATCAGCTCTCAGGAACCATACCACCAAGCTTGGGACAATGTGTCAATTTGGAGATACTAGACCTTTCAAGAAATGAGATTTCTGGGACAATTCCTGGTGAGGTTGCAGAACTGAGGAGCTTGAAGTTGTATCTGAATCTGTCAAGCAATCACTTGCATGGGCCTTTACCACTTGAGCTGAGTAAAATGGACATGGTGCTAGCAATCGATCTATCTTCCAACCGTCTCTCTGGCACAATTCCGCCACAACTTGGAAGCTGCATTGCACTAGAGAACCTTAACCTTTCTGGGAATGTCTTAGAAGGCTTCCTTCCTGCTACAATAGGACAGTTGCCTTATCTTAAAGAACTCGACGTATCTTCAAACCAATTGAGTGGCAATATACCACAAGCTCTGGAGGCATCACCAACTCTCAAGCATCTCAATCTCTCTTTCAACAAGTTCTCTGGGAACGTAGCAAACAAGGGGGCATTTTCTTCTCTGACAATAGACTCCTTCCGAGGAAATGATGGCCTTTGCGGTGAAATAAAGGGCATGGCCAACTGCCGGAGGAAACACGCTCATCATTCACTTATTTTAGCTGTTCTCCTGTCTTTGTTTGCGACTCCCTTATTATGCATATGTGCATACCCCCTCGTACTCAGGTCAAAATTCAGAAGGCAGTTGGTTGTATTCAATCGAGGCGACTTGGAAGATGAGGACAAAGAAACAAAAGACCTCAAGTATCCAAGAATCTCATATCGACAGCTCATTGAAGCCACAGGGGGGTTTAGTGCTTCAAGCCTAATAGGCTCAGGCCGGTTTGGCCATGTCTACAAGGGAGTTCTTCAAGACAATACAAGGATAGCTGTTAAGGTATTGGACTCAGAGACAGCTGGAGAAATTTCAGGGAGCTTCAAAAGAGAATGCCAAGTCCTAAGGAGAGCCAAACACAGAAATTTGATCAAGATCATCACAATATGCAGCAAGCCAGAATTTAAGGCTCTTGTCCTCCCTCTCATGTCAAATGGGAGCCTGGAAAGGCATTTATACCCAAGCCATGGACTAAAGACAGGGTTGGATTTGATTCAGTTGGTGAGCATATGCAATGATGTGGCTGAAGGGGTGGCCTATTTGCACCACTATTCTCCTGTTAGAGTAGTGCATTGTGATCTCAAGCCAAGCAATATTCTTCTGGATGAAGACATGACAGCTTTGGTAACTGATTTTGGAATCGCAAGATTGATTAAAGGTGTTGTTGACAGTAATTCAACAGATGATTCAGTGTCCTTTAGCTCAGCTGATGGACTTTTGTGTGGATCTGTCGGCTATATTGCCCCCGGTATGTACTTACTTTCTGCAACAACGTGCGTAGTATCCTTTCATTATTTCTAAATGATGAAATGATTTATAGTGTTCCTAACGGAAAGAGAAGACCTTGTTATGTTTATTAATTTCCTTGTCAACTTGATCTAATGCAGAATATGGAATGGGGAAGCGCGCTTCAACGAAAGGAGATGTTTACAGTTTTGGAGTCCTTCTGCTAGAAATTATAACAGGAAGGCGCCCCACGGATGTTCTATTCCATGAAGGTTCAAGCTTGCATGAATGGGTTAAGAGTCATTATCCCCACAAGCTCGAGCCCATAGTTGATCAAGCAGTGCCTAGGCTTGCACCATCTGGCATGCCAGTATACTATAACAAAATATGGAGTGATGTCATCTTGGAATTGGTTGAGCTTGGCCTAGTTTGCACTCAAAACAATCCGTCAACAAGACCAAGCATGCTAGATGTAGCCAATGAAATGGGCAGCCTAAAGCAATATCTCTCTAATCCTCTCTCCCTTCTGATTGAAGAAGCAGATCCAAAGGCTAGTGCTTCTTGATTATGCAATGGCAGTACTGAAAGTAGGTTCACCAAAAATTTCAGAATCTTAGAAACTGCTAATCATTGTATTCATTTATTTAGATTATTTTCATGGCAAATAAATTCTGTGTCTGAATTTTACTCAATGCAATATCTTTCTTGATAAGAAATTTCCCGAAGTGTTGACCTTTATGGAGTAGTGTTTTGTTGGTTATTTTCATTACCTTTAACAGAAGTTTTCCTGGTGAGGTGAAATGATCAGACAGATCTAGTTGTCAAAGCATAAAGAAAATCTTCTTTTCACCGTCCAATGGATTCTTTAAGCTGCAAAAACAGTCCTAGCTTTTATAGTCATATTTTAATAACAACCAACCCTAAACTTCCTTTGATTTATTAAATGTTTATTAGATTGTGAGCTCTGAATCATAGTTCAACTATGAACTAGACATTGATGCTTCAACCTATTTTTTTTTGTTCTGCTAGTCTATTTCTCTGTTAAAAGATGAGCATTTTGTTTGTGGTGAGCAACACATTGATTTGTATAATCAAGAAAATGCACTAGCTAGGTCCCTTTTAGCCTACCAGCAAAGCAGTAAGTGGAAGATTATACATTTATAATAATAAGCCTGTTCTCACTTTCATATCAATCATAAAAAGCACTGGGAACCTTTTTATCACTTTAACGTTAGAACAGAGAGAGAGAGAGAGTCCCTAGAGGCCTAGACCACAATGTTTGCTGTATATAGTAGGTCAAATTGTCTCTGGGAAAATATTAACAAAGAAGTTCAAATCAATATCGAAGTCAAATAGGGATGCCACAGAAGGCCGTAGACATTCCAGACTATCTTGGATGCCCTTTTCACATGCAATGTACTGATGAATTAGGTTGCTATCCTAATCTCTAATAAACTAAATTGTGTGCTTGCTTGCCTGGAAAAACACGAACTACCAATATCTTGCAATGGTTTTCTCTAATTGGTAATTACTTGGTTCAGCAACCATCATAATTCATGCACCTACCATCACCTCCTCGTTATCCTATTTCTCCCTCCATTTCCTCGATTGTTATAGTGAAATTCATGGAGAAAATCATACGTGGGCATGAAAAATCTCTTTAGTATGACTTCAGCAAACCAATGATTCTCTTCCTTCCCTATACTTCTAAAGCAACCGAAAGAGTTGCAGGTATTGGGGCACAAGCTAAAGATTTAGTTAGAACTGCTACCAATGAAACAGTTCCCGTCACCACCTGAAAATTGCGAACTGTCTTCATAAGGAAAACTGAAAAAGAAAGTAATTTCTGGCCTCAGATAAGAAATAACTGGCCATTCGTACAACTGCAATATACAAGCGGTATTATATATATATATATATATTGTCTGGTGCAGCCATGTTTAGTAAATCTCAGGTGCCAATTATCTGCCTCCGTTGCATCTGCTATGGAAAACTACAATATTCCATCCTTCGTCTCACAAAGAATTACTTCTTAACAAAATTCCCTCAGATTTTTTATTTGATAATAAATTACATCAAAATTTAAATTCATTGTCCCACCAGAACTCAAGGAAGGAAAATAATATGCTACACTAATACTATAAAACTCTTGCATCTTTCAATCATAGTTTTAAATAAGGATCGTGATTGAAAAAACGATCACGATAGAAATAATAAAATAACGATAACGGCAACTAATGTCGTGAATATATTAACAACTGTTAATAAATTTATTTTAATTCATATATTTTTAATCGTTATTACTTATTAATAGTTTTACTAATTAAGAATATTAATAAGTAATAACATATTCCAAGTTTCATAAATTTATTCGAGTGTTGACTATATTTAATGTAGATATTTTATTTCATAATTTTTTTTTCATCATTCTTATCATGATGTAAATTTATTTTTTTATTTTTAGAAAAAAAAGAAAATAAATTAAAAAAATATGACTAAATAATTAGTTTTTGAAACAAGAAGGACCAACTACTTTATTTTTCCAAACTAAAGAAACTAATTTATAATTTATTCAATTAAACCCTATATTTGTTGCCGAGCAAAGAAGATAGACAACCTAAAGTAAATTATACATTAGTCTCTTTAGTTTTGATAAATGAATTAATTAGTCTTTAATGTTTTAAAAACTAATTATTTAATCTTTTGATCATGTTTAATATAATATATTTTATTTCATAAAATATTCTTTTCACCAATATTTTTATGATATAACTTTATTTTTTTCATTTTTTCAAACAAAAGGGAAAAAATTTAGAAAATAACATAAAATAAACAAAAACAAACAAATAATTGGTTTATGAAATAAAAAGGACTAACTAATTTATTTTGTCGAAATAAAATAACTAATTTAATATTTATTCAATCAAGCTCGGAACTCTAGCTAGTATTTGATTCTTATTCTCTAATAAAATAAACTCTCAAACTCTAAATCTAAAATGTTTTTTTTTTTTTTTTTTTTTTATGTATAACACTCGTTATATAACGGTGATGGCGTTATTTGCCATTATACACGTAAAACAATATCGGAGTACTCATAACGTTGAATAACGATAACGGAATATCCCAAAACCGTTACAATTACGATCGTTACATTATGTAACAACGTCTTTTAAAACCATGCTTCCAATGTCTAATTCCTCCAATAATAATTTATTCCTCATTGCACAAATAATCTAATTTTTTAACTTAAACTAAGTTATCATAATCATTCCATAGCAGCTTGCCTTTTGGAACAAATTTGTGACGAAGTAGCCGACTATGAAGATGCACTCAAGATAAGCATAGGCCTTTGGAGATAGGATTCCTACATTAATAGCACTCCAAAAAATTTCATTTTTTTTCCAAGTTTGGCAAATCTCTTGATTTTTTTTTTCTCGGAGTTTTTGCCGAAACACCATTAAATGGTCCGGATACTCGAAGGAGTCATAGACGGATATCCAGGTGAAACTAGGATGTTCTTGTCTTCTTGTAGGTAAAGATGATGTCAAGTTGGCGACGAAGCATCTAGGAGAGCCGCCCGATTGTACGCCCCACCAAAATGGCTCGTGAAGTTTTTCACATAATCTCATTTGATATGATATCGAGCCTTAATGACCAAACCATCTCAAGTTCGAATCCTATCATTGTCACTTTCTCTTCTAATTAAATAAGCACAAGATAGTATGAGCATATGTAAGTCTCAAGCCCAAAAAGCTTTTTACTTAAATGGATGTATTAGAGAATAATATAAATTATATTCTGGGATCTTACCTAAAAGCTTAAGCTTTTGGGTGAGATGATTCTTTGAAATTATGAACTATAATATGTCTAGCTAGTTAAAAATTGAAACAAATCTTATCTTAATCCTCACAAATTCCTTAAAGATGAAATGAAATTCTGGCCACTGAATTTAAAAGTTCATAGACTTAACTTCGGCTACTTTCTCCCACATAAAAAGTAGCCGTCCATAAAAACTGCAAAGCTCATTCCCTATTCTTAGTCATAGATGGTTGTGCAGGCAGATCGAATGAGTAGTTCTAAAGCAGTTGGAAATGATAGCATATCACGGTGATTAACCCACTAGCTAAAAAAAAAGAGTACTTAATTAAAATACTCCTTGAGCATGAACGAGGAAGGTGAATGTGATCAGAAGGTGCTCCATGATAGTGACTGCCATAACTATAAGTCTGCTCTTTCTTTTCTGATGAAACATACTGAAAAACCAAATATGTGATTATCATGAGAAGAAAAGGATACAAGTCTTGCTCTCTCAGTGAAGCGAAGTACTTCGATACCAAACGATATTATCCATTAGTAGCTGTCTATGTATAGATGTTAAATTTCACAGAAACTTGGGCTATTAGAACAAACATGTAAAACACTAGGGACCAAATGTAATATCGGTATGTGAGGGATGCAAAACAAAGAATGCGGACTGTTGAGAACAAGAAAGAAAATAGCAATTAGCACAAGACCACAGGGATAAAAATTGTCTCCAACCGCAGCATATATATATATATATATTGCTCCATATGTTGTTATGTAATAGGTTGAGCCAACAATCTTTCTTTACATTTTTAATTGGATATATCATATCGGTATTGTAATATTGCCCAATTAGTCCTTTTGCCATGTTTTCCAATAAAAACTCATGTGTAGGTCACATTATCAAAATTTATTTTCAAAACACACCTAACTGAAAAAAAAAAAAAGTCTCTAATATGTTTTTACATTTTTAATTTTCTTTATTATGTTCTTGTATAATATTTAATTCTCTAATATATCATTCGTAAATAAAAAGTTCTAAAATTACTAAACCATTAATTTTTTTAAATAAATATTTTATTTTAATTTTCAAAGATCAAAATTATATGTTAGTATATTCAAGGACAATTTTAAAATAAAAAATATATAATTTTATCAATTTAGGAGAAAAAACTTGATCGAAAGACATAATTATGTCAATATAGTTATACAAGCATATACTTTTGTTTTTTTTTTAAAAAAAAAATTCGATCTCAATTGACACAATTATATTTTTCATTCAAAAAATACTTTTAAGTTGTACCAGCATATATTTTTAATTTTTTAAATCTTTAATGGTTTAGTAATTTTGAAACTTCTCATTTCTTAAAACAGATTTTAGCAAAGTTTTGAGGAATTTTTGTATTGTATCCTTATATAGCTTCGAGGATAATTTTAGAATGAAAAATATAATTTTGCTAATATCGATGGAAAAACTTAATTGAAGGATATATTGAAGAATTAAATATTATATAATGACATAATTGACACAATTAGAAATGTAAAAACTTATCAGCAACTTGTCCTTTTGTTTTTTTCTCCGTATTTCAATTAGAAGCATTTTGGGAACAAACTTTTGTCATATGACTTACATGTGAGCTTTTGATAAGAAAAAAAATATCATAAGAATTAATTGGACAATTAGATAATATTTATAGATATAATAAATCCAATTAAAAATGTAAGAGCATATTATAAATTTAGTCTATTATATAAGAATATATTTAACCATTTATTTATCCTTTTAAATATGTTGTTTGGAACCGACTTGTGCTTTGGTGAAAAATTGATATATAAAGCTTTGGAAAATTACATATCGCTATATATCCTAACTATATCACATCTATTTCAAAGTGTGTTAAAAGGGCCATCTCATTATTTTCTAACACACTCCCTCAAGTGAAAGCTTTTTGAGTTTGAAACTTACGGAGGCTCACACTACCTTATGCTTAGTTAATTAAAAAGCTTAACCTCGCTAGGTGAGGTGCAAGATATGATTTATATTATTCTTTAACACACCCCTCAAGTGAAAGTTTTTTGAGCTTTCAATGCTTGTCAAAGGGCCATCTCATTATTCTCTAACACACCTCCTCAAGTGAATGTTTTTTGGGCTTGAAACTTGCAGATGCTTACACTACTTTGTACTTAGTTAATTAGAAAGCTTAACATGTTAGGCGAGGTCTAAGATATGATTTATATTATTCTCTAACACACCCCTCAAGTGAAAGCTTTTTGAACTTGAAACTTGCACAAGCTCACACTACCTTATGCTTAGTTAATTAGAAGAAAAAGTAGGAGTGGTAGGATTCGAATTTGAGATCTTTTGGTCATTAAAGCTCCGATACCACGTCAAAGGCGTCAAAGGTGCATCTCACCCAAAAGCTTAAGCTATTAAATTGGGTATCGGGATATGATTTATATTATTCTCTAACAAAGTGGATCTCCTTTTAAAAAAGTAGCTTATTTGATGCAAGTTTTGAATTCAATGTCGGTCCATATGAATTTTAATTAATTAATTGGAATTTACAAGTAATCTAATTAACATCTCATATTTTTAATTGTTTGCAAATTGAACCATCAAAAAATAAATAAATAAAAGCCTAATTTTAGCCCATCAAAACTAGATCAACAAATGAGCTAAGTGTAACTTGATTTGGTTCACTTTAAATTATTAAAAAAAGAGAGGCTATTCTTGTAATAAAATCCTTGAAACCAACTAAAATGGCCAATTTCTAGTTTGAATTAGACAAACGACTATTTAATTAAATTACTAATTAAATAAATTACTAATTTCTAAACATAATTCTATTCTTACTCAATTTTGAATAACGATAATCACAACTTCTATAACATTATCGGTCACATACAAAATATGATTTGCAGATACATAATAAAGTAAAAGAAAATAAAAATTATCAATTTTATTTTTTTGCAAAACCAAAAGTTGCATTGTTTTGGAAAAAAGAAAAAAAAAACCTAGTAGTTTCGCCTTTATCTCATTAAGATCTCTCTTATTCCATTGTTTTATTTTTTTTCTTTTAATGTTCTACAAAAACTATTATCGTGTGTATATATAATAGTATTCATGTTTGGGATTCCATATCAATACTCTTTCATATATAGTCATATACTTTCCGTATACTTATATTTTCATATACATGTACTTGTAATACCAAAATCATAAATGTATATATCTATCGATTAGTGATATGCAAAGCTAATATATATTTTTTTTCAAATTCTTCTTTGCTTTAACTTGGTATCAAAACTTCACAAGAAATTTTAAAATATTCAAGAATAACTATTATATACTTATACTATTAATTTTATAGGCATATTTTTTAGAAGAAGAAAAGAGAATCACATCTAAACTCATAAAAATACTAAGAATATTTCCTTTTCTATCCCTCTCATAAACATCCATCACTTCATCTCGATCAAACTAAAGAACAACAATTACTTATATTGGCCAATTTAGATGAAGTCATTTTTCTAGGGTCAAGGATTATTTCGTTTTCTTCGTGACACAAAACCATGCCCTCTCGCTCACCAACTCACAAACAACGACTCTCTCCTAATTACACTACGTACCTCTAGGGACATTTGACAAATTTTGGAGAGCACATTGACCTCTACTTCTAATACACACATCGTGAAGCTATAGTGATGAACTATTCATTACGGTTAGACCTCTTTCTCTCACTAATTTCAATTTATATTTATTTAAGGGTCTTCGTGGTGGATTTAAGTATCTAGTGACCACTCTTAATGCCAAATTGACTTTTGTCCGCTTTACTATACTCCATAATTTATCGCTTGGTTATGAATTTCTTCATCATAACTATGTTCGCTCATTACTTGATTATATGCCTAGTTTGGTTGACTCTCCGACTCTTCGACTAATTATTGTAGTTGATATTTTGGCTATAATGATAATAATTCCTGAATAAATGAAAACCAAAATAATTATGGATATAATCGTGTTAGAAATAAGGGTCAAAACCCATAGAACAATAATAATCATCGGTCTAATTAAACTCAATCCGCACTTGAATAGCTCGGGAATCATAATGGGCTCGGTAGTCCTCGGATAATTATGGTTGGTGGTCGAATAGTGGATCTAACAAGGTTGTTTGCTCGTCAATTGTGTAATGGTTTCAACCATGCAACTCTAAACTACCCTCCGAGGTTTGGCCCGTAGCAACAACCCATAGCATACATAGCCAATTTGCCTCGAACCGCACCCACTACGCTCGCTAAGTGGATTCCTAAGACGAGGGCTACTCATCACATCACTACGGACATGTCTAGGATGACTACTATGGATCCCTTGGAATGGATCAACTACACTTAAACATTTTTCATGTTTGTAATTCTACTATTCATATATATAAATATATTTCAAATATGTCACATATCTTACTAGTTCCTCGTATAGCCAAGTCTTTGTTGTTTGTTCTATATTTTTCAAAGAAAAAAAAATGTTTTCTTTAAATTTCACCCTTTATATTCTCTTTGTTAAAAACTTTATAACCAAGGAAATTCTTCTCAAATGATGGTCTTTATATGTCTTCTCTAAGTCGTTGACTACTTTCTTCCTTAAGCTCTATTAATTTTTTTGTGCTTCTCCCGAAACCCGGCATTAAAGGTTTGGCCATCATAGCAACCACATTTAGGTTAACTTATTTCAAAAAATGAAGCTCGTAGTTCTACTTCTGTGTCTAGACTATTTATCGATCATACCTTTTAAGAAAGTCGTATAGATTGTCTTTAAAGCTTATGGTTTATAAACCAATGCTCTCATGGAGCTTATTTTTTAGTGATGTATGAGGCCTAATCCTAATGGTTTCTTTGAATGGATTTTACTATTTTATCAATTTTATGGATGATTTTACTAATTATGTTTGGTTTTATCCTTTACTCTTTAGATCAAATTTCTTTAAGATCTTTCCGTAATTTCAAAAACTTGTTGATCACCTATTTAATACTAAAATCAAAACGATCCAAATTGATTAAGGAGTGAGCATAGAAAATCAAACACTTTAAAAATATTAGTATTCACCATCCTCTAATCTATTCTCGCACACATGAACAAATTTGCTTTATTAAGTTTCATCATCATCACTCGCATGTTCCTCGAAGTTCTAGTCATCTGTTTTTGAATTAGCTATTTAATTATCTTATCAATTGCATGCCCAAACATACTTTGAATGAAAAGTCTCATATTGAATGTTTGCTAAAATCAAAACCTTACTAGTTTCTTAAAATATTCGAATATCTTTATTTTTCTTTATTACGTCTATTTAATATGTATAAAATTCATTTCGTTCAACAAAATGTATTTTTTTTAGTTATAATTATTCTCATATTAGATATAAATTGATATCTCTACTCAAAAAAATTTATATTGCACGCCATACTCATTAGATACCACCCTAAATGCCATCACCACAATCAACCACATATATGCCTATGTTAATTAGCGAGGTTATCGAGTACCTCTCCTATAGAGAAGCCAACACATCTCCGACCAATCTAGAGCTACCACAATCCTCTTCTTCACTCTCTCGGGTGCTCCCTAACTAGGGTGAGCTACCTACTTAGTTATCTCATGTAGGTATAGGTTTCGGTGAGTCTTTCTTATTTCCTCTAAGGTTCAATCTTATGGTGGATTTAAGTGATTATTCGTTTCGATCCATTAAAATCATGACTACTACTACTCATGCTGCCCCATTTGTTGGCCGAAATCAAAGCATGATCCTTCGGTATATGAATAAGCCTAAAGCTAGTAGCAAATTCTGTTATTGTTGTTAACTCTTTGGGTAGCTCTTTTGCTAAGAGTTTGGTAAAAGTATAAAGCTAAGATATTATAAAAAGGTTGATTGCTTTTAGGAGTGGCTTAATGCTATGTTCGAGTAACATTGATGTTTTAAAAACCAATGGTATATGGTCTCATTCCTTATTTGGATAAATTTTAATCTCGTTGGCATTGGGTTTTTCGTATAAAAAAAGGTAGATGGAAATGTTAGGATGCCAAGGATTTTCATCGGTAGGAAATTATTGATTACTCAAAAACATTCAATTCTATTATCAAACTTAGTACCATTCACATTGTTCTCGGTCTTGTAATTATTCACTCTCGGTCAATACATCATTTACTTTTGGTCAATACATCGGCTAGATGTTTGAAATGTCTTCATGAATGAGCATTTATAAGAAGAGGTTTAAATAGAGCACCAACTGGTTTTGTTTATCCTAATCACCCAATGCATGTTTTTCATCTTCATTGAACTCTATATAGTATAAAGCATGCGATACGAGCTTGGTATCTTCTTCTTAGTAAGTTTTTACTTTGTCGGGGATTTGTTGGTTATAAGACATATACTTCTTTATTTATATATTTAACTTTTGATGTTCGGGTATATCTACCGGTCTATGTTGATGATATTATTATAACTAGTAGTGATCTCATTTATGTGTAACAAATTATTGATCTTTTTGTTGGTGAATTCGTGTGTGAGATCTTAGTTCACCAAAATTATTTTTCAGGCGTTAAAGTTTAGCGCACGCACATAGTGTTTAATTTAGGAATAGAAGAATAATTTAGAATCATTCAAAAAGAAGAGATGATAATTGAAGAACGAGAAAACAAAGAGAGAGAAAATATAGAAGAGGAAGAAATTTTAATTATATTCCACACACTATTTTACAAGGTTTCCTAACATCTTATTTGCAATAGCTAATAAACAATTAATAAGCCAACTAATGCTATTTTTACAAGTGGAAATTCTTAATTGGTATATATGTGTAGTAAAGAAATATATTGGTCAAGAATTTTACACATAACAAAGCCTTTCCCTTTAAGACCCTTGTCCTTAAAGGTTAATTCAAGAACCCCATGTTCCAACACACGAGTAAGCATCTAGTTCTTTGATTTGAATCGACTTTTATTATAGCCTTTAATCCATATAAGTTTAACTCCATGCCATATGAAGTGATACCACGTCTATAGTATAAAGAAATGCTATATAACCTAAAGCGAGTTAGAAGAAACCTTAAGTTCTAACATCATTATTGTTACGAGAACTTGCTTATGTTCTTTTCTTGCTGCTATTTTTTATTTTTTTTGTTTTTTTATCATTAAAGTTCTTTTAAGAACCTTGCATAAAACATTTAATACGAGAGATAGTAATTGAATTATGTGTTGCACTTGCTACAACACATTTCACATCCCCACTCAAAGATTTGTAAAAATAGTATAATGGTAAAATGATAAGCTACAAAGAAATCAAGAATTTTTTTGCTTGCCAAAAATCACAACAATGGCTTTGTTGAGACCATGCTTGAGCTTTTCCTCTAACTTGTGCAATAGAAATATACGAGTGGGATAATATCATCGTAGTTTTAATCGAAGATCATGATAAATACTTTAATAATAAAAATAATTATGATCGAAACATTTACATGTAAATAGTTTCACTAGATCAAGATAGTAATATTAAATCATTGTCTTTATTTTCACAATCTAAGTGCCAAGACAATCCTACTTATTTTAGTATTCTATCTGCAGAGAGACTTTTGATTCTGTCTATTTTTTCTCTTTTTTTATTTCTTTTTTTCTCTCTCTTATCTATTTGTTTGCATAGATGCCTAAATATATATATATATATGTGTGTGTGTGTGTGTGTGTGTGTGTGGTGTGTGTGTGTAGGAGTTGAAGGGAAACAATGTTTCCACGTAGCTCGTTTTTGATAGTTGTTGTTGTTGTTGTTGTTGTTATATGTTTCCTTATCGGGTCCACCCGTCATGGGCGACCCAACCCAAATTTTTTTATTTTTCTAACATCTCCCACTCGCATATGACGGGTTAGACTCGACGCGAGGCTCTCGCAATATCGATAGTAAAACAAGAAGGTATATTTTCATACAAGCAAATGGATCGTGCAACCTAGCGAGCATTCCCGCATTTTAGGAGCTTATTACTATGCATATGTTAGGAATAACATAGTAGCTACCACTTTTGATTAATGAACAATTTATGAGATATAATATATCGTAAATCTTGCAATACCCTGCACGAGTTCTTTGTATGAATATCTCATTATATCAAATCCCTCAATTGGTATTAATCCGATTTTATATTGTATATCCATAATCATATCCACAGTATTCCCAAGCAATGCTTCTTTTAAGCAACATGATTGGTTAACCTATGAATATACCGAACACATCTTCCTTTCTTACTCGAAATTCTTAATTTAGAGCTTTGTTCTTGTTTTAGACAAGTTTTATAAATCGAATCACACATGATCATAAGTAGCTAGCTAAGATAGCAAACATCAAACCTAGATCTTGAATAACGGTAAAAAGTGATAAGGGTATTATCTAGAGGATATTATTGTTCCTCCAAAGATCTCACATAGTGGAGAAGTAGAGATTCATTCTCTTACTATCTTTTACGATCGTATTAGCACACGTGGTGTGAATTACGTGCTATAATGTTCCCATCCATCATATCTTAAACATACTTGTATAGATCTTAGTTCGGTCATTAGACATAAGCGACTAACACGAGTTCTCATGGTGTTTTCTCTCGGCGAGGTTTTAATCACCGAGATCTCAAATCGGCTTTCACGGAGTTATTTGGATTGGGCTTTCCAAATCAATTATAAAAATAATGTATATTGGTTTACAATCTCATCTTAATTTTATAATTAAAGGGATACTTTCTTAATTTTATCTCCACTTTACTTGCTCTTAATAGCATTAGAGAAGTATTATCTCATCTCTACTTGTTTCCATTAACGCTAAAGGCGATTGCTCATGTGAGAGAGCTAATCTAAAACCGTGTGACATAAAAAATTAAGCTTTACAAAAGTAACATACATAACATGTAAATATATATCACATTACATTCATAACAAAATAATACAAATGTTCATTATCATGATAAAGTTATAATCTACGCATTCTAAGAGATTTAACATGTCTAAGATACACATCTCTTGGTATGGGTTTTGTGAGAGGATCTCGCTATCATTTGATACATAGATATATATTGTACTAACACTTCTATTTTTTCAACGATGTATCTAACATAGTTATACTCGGTGTCAATATGTTTGATTCTACTATGGTATTTAGGATCCTTGGTATAAGTAATAGTTACCTGGTTGCCACGATAGACGGTAATAGGCCCCAAGATATTACCATTAACTTTTAAATCTTCAAGGAATCTCCTTAACCAAGCCGCTTCTTGCACAGCAGTTGAACATGCTATAAATTCAGCTTCTATAACAAACAATTGCTATGCGAGTCCGTTTCTTGCTTTTTCAAGAGATTACT